TTTCATAAAAACAATTGTCCGCTTTGCTTGAAACTAATCTCAGTTTGGACGGGCAAAGGTGTAGTACATGTATTATGGAACATAAAAACAAAAATATAAAAAAAAACTATTATTCTTTCCAACCTTTGCGATATGGAATGGTTGAAACTTGATACAGGTGCTGGGCATGACACGTCGTAAAAGTATTTCTTGAACAAGAGTCTCATCATGGTTTCGATCAATTGCGCCAACTCAGCTTATTAGTCTCGTTCTCCAGCTAGGTTTGGCTTAATTCAATTTGGCTTAATTCAACGAAAGCTTGTTTGTTTCTGGCCGAATCTGACGAGTTGAAGTTAACCCGGAATCTGGACAACTTTGCTTGATCTCGTACCAGCGCATCTACCTCTCCAATACTTGATTCTATAAGTCTAATCAAATAATATAAGCAAATACTTTTTCTATTTAGAATACCTCTATATAGTATTGTGCTTGCATCTTCAAATAAAACCAAAAAGATGTTCTGTCAGAGGTCGCACCAAAATCCATTTTTTCGCGGAAGATTGAATAGTCTCCGCCCAGTTTCTGGCAAATGTCGCGCTCAGGAGTGTCCAATGTGGACTCCACGATGGGCTTCACGCTCATTGCCCCATTCCTGCCATAATCTCAGTTGCGATTCCGCCCACCGACCGCCATGAGCAGCTCTGGTTCGAACAGCAGCGAAGCCGACGTCGGCAGTGTCAACACGGCCAGTGCGGCCAGCGATGCCGGGTCCATCGTGTTCACTAGCGCCCCCAAGACAGAATCCTCCAACAGCGGAGACTCATGCACCTGGTACTCTGGCGGCATCTGCTCCAACCCTCGGTCCTGCTCGGACTGCTTGAATGTCGCCATCCCAGGCCAAGATGTGAGTTAGGACTCGAAAAGTTTACGCTAAAATGCACGATTACTGACTTAACCTCGGTGTATTTTGCAGTGTGCCATCAGTGCTTACGGCGAGTGTATGAACTCGTATATGCTGTCGAGTGTGGGAGGATATCCGATGAACACTTTCACGTACTGCTCCGCGAACGACTCGGTTTGTTCAGCTTGTAAAGCGAACTGGACTCGCGACGATAGTGCCGGAATGTATGTGGAACCGAATGCCATGTGTGTGGGGGAGAGCGGCTGCATTTGCATTGCTTCTTGTGAATTACCCGACCGCGATGACAATATTGTGGATAACTGGTGCATCCCGGCACTCGATGGATCCCAGTTCCGGTTGGTTGCGGGCCTGATTGCCGGCACAATTGCACTCTTTGTTATTGCTACGATCCTCACGAAGCGGCAACTCGCCCGTCGCCAGCGACAAGATGCTGAAGACCGCGAGGCGCGCAATGCTGCGCGTGCAGCTCAGCGGCAAGCGCGTCGTCCTGCTGGATTGGCTCACTTGCCGCAACTGAGCTTGTCAGGCTGGTCCGACATGCGCGAGAAACTCGTTTCCAGCGAGCAGAGCCAGTTGGCGGGTGAGAGCGTGACGAAGCCGACGCTAGCACGGTCATCTACGACGCCACCTGCTGCTATTGTCGAAGAAGGCGACGGGTATCGGCCCATGTCGCCCAGTGAGCACCCTCCTCGCCGCGAGCTGTGAGGAATTACTCTGTTGGAGTGAGGTCATATAATCACGTCGGAAATGTATCAACTATTCTTCATGTATCGAAATTTTGTGTTAAACTGTAACTTTTAGAGAATGTATTATAATGAAGGAAAAAAAAAAATGCTCGTGTCAGTCTGTAAGACGTGGAGCAGACGAGTTGATGGGCGACATTACGGGCGCTGAAGGTTCAGCGCCTTCGAGTTGGAGATAATTCGCCGACGGGGAAAGAATTGGAAGACTATTCTCGATGACTGGGCACTGTTGTATACAGATTCGCTGTTGCATTTCATGGCGCTCTTTCTCGATGAGATCAGCGCGCATGGATTCCCACCCGAACAAGTTCAAAAGTCGAGGCTTGGAGCTTGATGAACTGGTGATTGGTTCTCCAATAACGATTGTTCTTCGCCGCTGCAACTCCTCCACTCTCCTTTTGCTGTGATGGTGGTGAATTGTGATCACCATCGCCAACGTTGCCACCAGCGTGAGAATGATTGCGATCGCAACGCACCAAAACACCGCGTATCCTTGTAGATTGTCTCCTTTGTCGTCTTTATGATCATTTTCGCTAGGATTTCTATGATCTGCTGTACTCAACCCGGAACAATCACTGCCACCGACGACGTATATCCAGCTCGGTAATTCGCATACTTGGACAAACACGCAGCGCTCAGTCCCGTAGACGAAGCCTCCGTTAGCGAGCTGGTATTCATCCAACAGAACGTCGTTGGCCTCACAGTACGTTGTGTTTGCTGCTGGAAATTCCAACTCGATGTGGATATCTATCAGATTGCGCGGTGGTTGCGTCGCTTTCTGACTGTTGCTAGAGCTTCTACCATTGCTAGATTCCTTGTTATCCATTGGAGATGACACCACTCGGAAATCTACCGAGACGTCGTAGTTGCCTACAATGGAGACACATCGTCCTACCTCGTTGATCATGCAGCCGTCCGGTTCCTTGTTGAGCTCAGAGTTGAGGCAGTCGTAACAAGTACGAGGTGCTCGACAGCCTCCTATATCCGCTGGGTAATACGAGCAGGTTCCTTGTGTTCGGTCGTCATTCGGAGGATGTGACGATGTCTGTACTCGACGACGAAGACCGGAACGAACCGATCCAGTTTTTCCAGTGGGCGATGGCATCGCTTCAGCGGTTTACTAATGTCTTATACGTGGCGCAATGAGAAGGAGAAGGGCTCCATTGCGACGGTGGTTTCGAGTCGATTGCTGCACGTACGTCGGAAATAAATCCTTCCGACGTTTTGAAAGCCACTTCAACGTCATGCACACGACTAGTCAGAAGGCAGCGCTAATAGGTTTTCAGACCCTTTCGCACCAAAGCTCGCACTTGCACTAAAGACGATCACAGCGATCATCGCAAGTGGCTACTAACCAGTCACAGGGTTGTTTTTCTCCTGCTCCGTTGCCGGACAGCAAAAGATAGTTTTTGCCGTCGAAGGCGAGTTGCACTGGTACGTCTTTCTCATGCACACAACAGTGTGGGCTTTCGAACAGCAGATCGGAGGCTGCTTTCCTCCCACGCTTCTACGTCAACGTAGCAGCCGGCAGCCAACAGGCTTCGGCACAACATGTTTTAGCTCTCATGAAACTTTGGTCATCACCATCGGCAGTTCATACTTAGCTGGAAATCGCAGATGGAAAGCTTCTGCCACATTTTGAAAATTGCAAAATGGCACTTCGATT